ATAGTCTAAACTCCTTAAAGAGCGGCTATATAGGTCAGTAGGGATAAGGGCACTTATGGTCGCTTTATGAACTATAGGCTGAGCTCCTTAAAGGGGGGATTATACACAGTTTAGAGTCTAGAGTCCTTAAAGCGGGGTCATATAGGGGATTATATAGGGGATTATATAGGGGAGTAGCAGAGGGTTTATTAAGGGGGATGCTAGCAGCAGTTTAGACAATGGCTCAGGTTGTGCAGCATGAGGGAGAAAAGAGCATCGCCGACGGCGGATTCATCCTCCAATGTGGTGTGGACATCCGGGACTTGTTTGAGGATCCCCAGTGATCAGTGCCTTGGATACCTTCGCGATGCGACTTCGTCCTTGAAATTCCGGGAAAAGCGCTTTTGAGAGCTATTCATGACATCCGAAATCTATGCCCTAAACCCCCTAAACCCAAAAACACTAAACCTCTAAATCCCTAAACCCCTGTCCTCTTGCGGAGTTGTGATTAGGCTAACCAGGCGGCAGCATGCCAAGAGGCTTGCCAAGCAGCAGGCCTCAAGAAGGAGCTTCTTCCACACGCGTGTCAGCTAGGTAGGTTTGATTCTGCACAGTCACTACATGGGATTTCCTAAAACTCAGTATACTACAGGTTCCTGTAGTGTGTTTTATTGCAATATGGCTCCTGTAGCGTGTGTATGTATAAATAGATAAATATGTATATTTATACACCCCATTTTGCGAACAGAAGTTTCGGCCAAGTCCACAGGATCCAAAGCTAAAGGTTTAAGATCGGAGGTTGCTGATGCCTGGCTGAGGTGATGGTCACCCCCGGGGCCTCATGCTGTGAGCAAGGAGACTTACCGTGGTGGAGATCCAAGACTACTAAATCATTATCCAGACTGGAGAATAGATGGAACATGAAATGGAGGATGGATCTATATAGGGGTTATATGGAAGGATGTTGGGCGGAACTAACTACCAATGTCATTTTGAGGTTGATTCGAGGCACCCTATACCATACTTATACACGGAGAGTAGGACCGTCGTACTGGTAATCATGTAGATTCTATTGACTGCTGCAGCCCCAGGGCGCCCAGTATGGCAGCTTGACTGAAAAGTCCACGTCAGCTGTTCTGCCCTGAGCTATGGTGGGTAACAGTTGGATAGTGAACATAACATGAATTCACCTTTATAAGCCCTAAACCCAATGCCCTTCCCGGATTGTGCCTTGCGCTGCTTCGGCCATGCAAGTGGCAAAGCCCAACGCCGCTTATTTGACCTATCTGTGATTGCTACTGGGCGGTGGCAGTCCCCAACCCTGAACCCCAAACCTTATTCTTTCCAGTTCATTTTCCCATCATCCCTATATAACCCCAAAACTCCACCGAAAGATCCGAATAGTATAACCCTAATCCCTAAACCCTATACCCTAATCATTGGCACTCCGAGAGTCCCCTTAAAGAAGGGGCCTCCTTTCAGAAAAGCTTCGGCAGCTGGGGCTTAGCAGCATGTATCTTAGGGTTTAGGGTTTAGGGCTAAGTGTCGAGGGCTTAGGGCTTATGGTTTAAGGCTTAGGGTTAGGGTTTCGCGTTTAGTGCCCAGAATCACATCCCACACACCCTTGCTGTTGGGGTTGAATGGGTATAGGGGAAGTCAAGAAGTCAAGGTAGGCCTTTTGGTGTCACGGTGGTGAAGACCACCTCACCGTGATTTTGGCGCGTTTTTTCCCTAGCTCTCGCGCCCCTGCCAGAGGGCATATGTGTCAGATGAACGGCTTAAAAAAGCAGGGAACCTGTGAAAGCACCATCAGCTTGAAGTAATGGAGGATCCACCGACATCAAGATCAATCAAAGCAGCTTTGGGAGGCTTCTTTTTGATTCGTCATATGCTTGCCTAGCTGGCCGAGCTTCGGCAATGATTGATCTTAGGACATGTGCCGCCTACTCAGTTCCTACCATAAATGGATTGATCCCCTTCTACAGGCCCCTATATACAGATTGTGGTATTATTGAGTTTCTATCCCTCCCCCATTTGCGGTATACAACCCTGCCAACTGTGCTGGGCCAGCAGCTCACTCTTCCCACTTGCTGCACTACTCTTGCTACACTTATCACACCATTGCGCGCAATTATGAACCGTTTTCGTAGGATTATCGTTGATGTCACCGCAAGATGATGATGATGATGATGATGATGCAACTGTCGTTCTTGGTGCTTGCTTCCTAAAGTATACTGTAATGATAGCAGCCGAGTATTGCAAGTGGCTGAAGCTCCAACCTCAAGCCCCCAAACCCTGCCCTAAATGAATAAGATCAAGTACCCATTTACGCGACTAGCATCACATTGTGACCCCTGCACCCATCTTGCTGTTAACGTCCTGGAGATTTTTTTCGTGTAGTAGCCATGTAGGTACGCTTTACATATTCGGGCTGCCTAGAACCTGTTCATATCAGTCCTTTTGCGCCCAAACATGACTTTTCTGGGTTCCGCAAATTCTAGTCCTACTACCGAAAATGCAGATTATTTTAGGCCTAGGGAACTCATCGACTGGGACCCTTCTTCTTCCAACGAGGCATCTCGCGAGGAGGTTCCTCTGGAACTCCTCTGGGAGCGCGCGAAACCGTCTGAGCCCTGGGAGGAGGCTGGTAGAGCCTTGGTTGCTCGGAGGTTCAGGGGGCGCTTTGTCGGGATTATACAGGGACAACTTTGAAAAGAAAATGGAAACTATTATATAATGATGGGGTATATATTGGGGCTATAGTCCGCCTGAAGTAGATAGAATATGGGGTATACGGGTATCTTGTTACAGTATACCCAAAGCCATATTCGATCTACTGAAGGGGGACTATACGAATAACCAGGCATATCCTTTTGATAGCTGTATAGGGTTTACCCCAATACTAAGTAGGGTTGGAGTTATCCCCCAGTTAGAAGTGCTCACTAAGTCCCATGAAGCCCCAAGCGGTCTTGTGGGTTGTGTGGTGGTACTTGTAGCACAACAAGACGATGGAGCGGCAGCCCCTAAACCCTAAACCCTTAGCCCTAAACCCTAAACCCTAAACCCTAAACCCTGTATTAATGATAGTGCGGTTTTCGCTGGTTGGGAAGAAGGCCAGCTCCGCCTTTGGTTTTGCACCAGCCTGGCCCCTGCAGTCAGTCTAATTTGCTCTACGTTTACTAGGTCATCATTTTCGTCATACTAAACCTAATGAGGAATACATATGAAAGTGGAGTTTTAGTGCTAGAATGCTAGACCAAGAAGGAACCAGGCAATACGAGCCGCTCTGAAAGGCGCTGTTGCACAGAGGGCCCTCAGCCCAGGGCGCATGTCTTATTTGCAGCAAGACCCTTATTTGTACCCGAAATAGGGGTATTTGGACCCTCCCTAATAGTGGGTATTCAGGTATGATAGAGGGTGACTGGAGGACCCACGAAGAACATGTGCAAAGGCCTGCGTTCTCATTTGATTCATGATGTTGCTTGACTCGAATGGACCTTTGGCTATGCTTCTTCGCGCTGCGGTTATGTTAACGAAAAGATAGCGCAGCACGCGCATACCGTTATACAGTGACCCCAATATAGACCCCTATATATTATCATTAGTATTATTATAGCCCTTATAATAAGATTCATTAAGGGGACCCCCAAAAAGGTTCCCTTAATTTTGGGAAACCCTATAGACCCTAAACTCTAATCCCTAAACCCTAAACCCTATATATTCCTATATAACGCCCATATAACCCCTATATCCCCTTTCAAGGTACCCTTAATTTTGGAGTGCCAGGTTGTGGCAGATGCTCACCTGCGCAGCTGGATGTATATCCGGAGGCAGGTTTAGGCTTTAGGGTTTAGGGTTGAGGCATATCGGTGATTGATGTTGTGGGTTTTGTCATGTTGTTTTAATCTTAAGCTCTCGGAGGGGGCCATATGGCCCTGGAAAATCTACACCAGCATCGCTAGTCTTGATATGGAGCACATGTCATCGTAGTGGGCCATGGTGAGATGTTGGGCACAGTTCCCCACGAGAACTGTACCAAGATAGCTGTAGATAAGAAGAGCCCTCTTGCCAGCGGCGGATTGACGTCTGCATATGCCTCAAAAAACCGCACGCGTAAGACTTGTCGATCTGGCAGCAAAACAGGAATCAAGACGCAGGCAGAGCTTTAAGCGGGGTTGTGACTATACAACCCCCCCCCCGACAACTCACAAGTTTAAATGATAAAGGGGTCCCCCAATTCAGTTGGGGAAATTGGTTTTGGGCGGTTGGGGCCAGGGAGGTCCTATCCTCCTTTATGAGTTCAAAAGGCAGGTCCAACCTGGATTTTCCAGGTCGGCGTATGTCAGTATTCCGTTAGGGGCTTCATTCCGTATCCTTTTTTAGAAGTCCGTATGGCCAAAGTTTGCTCTATTCCGACCCTGTCTGTCAGTAATCACGATCCCCCATGAATGGTGGTTACGTAGTAGCCGGGGGAGGAATGGATACCTATAGCTTTTCCATAATATGATTGCTTGCAACCCTAGATATTCAATTCCTTCAAACCCTAAATCTTATGAAGCCTAACCCCCAGGACCCTAAACTCTCAACCCTATACCCTCAACCGCCAGCGGCAAAACCAACCTAAACCTTCAGACCTAATATGAGCCACAGTCTGAATTCTAATTATCCCCCTTAACCCCAACAATACTCCCCTATCTAACCCCGTCTATAATCTCCCTTTAAGGAGGTTACACCCTAAGTCCTAAGCCCTGAATCCTAAACCCTAAGTCCTAAGCCCTAAACCCTAAACACTGACAAACCCTGAACCCTTTATCATCATATGGGGGATTGTCAAAATTATGGTCCCTTTTTGGGTCCCTATTATAATACGGGGCCTAATACGGGGCCTAATTTAGGGATCCAAAAAGGGACCATAATTTTGACAATCCCCCATATATTTCCGGACAGGCGGCATCCCTTAGTCAGGCAAGAGGACTTTGACACTCTCAGGGCTCCGCGGCGGCATGGTGAAGTCAAGGAAGAGAGAAGAAGATGTGAATTAACCATTGGGGTTTAGGGTTCATAGTCCCCCGTAAGTAGAAAATGGGGTATATGGGGATCTTATATTAATGTACCCAAAGCCATATTCTATGTACTTAAGGGGGACTATAGAGTCTAAGGAAGAGAGAAGAGCATGGGAAGTACCCATGGGGGTGAGGGCTAAGGGCTTAAGGTGTAGGGTTTCGGGTTTAGGCCTTAAGGTGTAGGGTTTAGGGTTTAGGGCTGAAGGTGTAGGGTTTAGGGCTCAAGGAATAGTAGAGCAGAACATAGGAATTATTCGTTGGGAAAATATTGGGGTTTTTTT